CATCATCATCATCATCATCATCATCATCATCATCATCATCATCATCATCATCATAGCCGCCTAGAGTGGTCGAAATGACTAGATAGGCGGGGTATAAATACAATAAATAAAAATAAATAAAATTACAGGATTTAGAACAACAAAGAGGAACAACAAACTACATTTGTTCATTTTGTTTTTCAGTTAGGAGCACAATCCAGTTCCCTGTTCTATGCTCAATGCTCCACCAACAGAAAGGTAAAGGTGCCATTACATCCAGCAGCTTTTCTGTGTTCTAGAAAACGCAGAACTTGCATTCATGTCAAGAGGGAGCAGAGGATGGTAATACAGAATAAACACAACAATGTCACTACAGTAAAGATGAAATATTCCAGTGAGCCTAGAGGAAACCTTTGGATTGGTGCTGTAGCTGTTGTGTAACTACAGCATTCCCAAGGTCTGCAAGCCAAATATAACCAAAGAATTCTACCTGTTTATCCCATATTTCAGACATATATCCTTAAATGTGATTTCTAAAGGACTTCATTTTTAACCCTGTTAAATCTTGCTTTCAAGAGTTTGGAGACTAATATGTATTAAGGAGAGCATTCCTATCCCATTTATTCTGTCATCTATTTAATCACAGAAATGTGACACTGCTATTGTATCAGGTGATATATGCATAAGAGCCCACACCCATAAACAACAGGGTTCTGGGTCACATGGAGAGGGTACCAGGGTACAGCAACTTCCCACTCTTCAGGCAAAAGGTGCAGGAGGCAGGACTAGCATAATCCTCTCAATATGTCTGGGCTTCACAGACTGTATCACAGGACAGATTAAAGCTTCTGTAATGAAGTAAAGCTATTATGTGTTCCCCTTAGAAAATTATTCTTCACTCAAGAGAATACTGAATGTTTGTACTTACTAAAGCAACCTTCGTGGTACTCGGGAAGGTAATGGGTATTTTTACCCTTGTACAAATGGTAACCCTTCAACCTGGTTCATAGCAAAGCCCAACACCCTATCTGGTTTGATATTTGTTTCTTCCCATGCTCATTAACTCTCTCCAACTAATAAAACTATGAAAATGGAGTAGACTGATTATGATTTGTGTCTATAAACCTTGAAGACTACTGCTTGCCTCCAACAATTGCTTCTCAAGAGTCCTTCATGACTAGTAAAATAAGAACGTTGCTCTTTCTCTAAATGTCAAACATGTTTAAAGATTGTGTCCATGGAAGGCTGGTCATAATCTTCTTTTGTGCAACAGCTGATTTCTTTTATTCCTTTAACTTGAAACTGTTGATAACACAAATCAGACACCTGAAGTTGAGTAATGGGCTTTGCTTGACCATAGTCTTGTCCACAAATCCTCATACATAAGCGACTTAGAAGCAATAGGAAAATATCTTCCCAACTCCCTCTTCCACAAGAATACCACATATCTAGATGCTAAAGCTAGATTCCGAAAGAAAATAAACTTCCTTCACATTTTTGCCTTGCATGATGGAAGTAAGTTCTCTGTATGTTATTTAAGGAGCAATATGTCTGGGAACCTCATATTTAAAACAGAGAAACATGAATAACTTGACTTACCGAACATAATAATCATTTCTGATGAGTAGAAAATGTTGCAGAATAGATAGGAAATAATTTTCAGATGCAGTTTCTTTCAACATATTGTACAACAGGTGGTAAACCTCATTCATATCAGTACAAAGAATGTCAAGGAAATACCATAATAGTTGTAGTGGAATAGAACTATGCAGAATAATCAGGATTCAAAAGAGCCCAGAAATGTCTGTTATGTATCTAACTGTGCCCTGGACTTAAATCTCAACTGGTACATGTAAGCCCTTTAGGTGTGCCTAAACCATCTTCTTAGACCATAAATAAAGGATTCAATGGAAATATTTTTTAAAAATAATATTATATTTAATATTTATTATGGAAATTTCTTCTTCTGCAACACCTAAAATTATAAATATGCATGTCTGGCATGCTATATAGAAGAGTAGACAAAGCTAGCATCACCTCCATCTTCAAAATCACAGACAGCAGAAACTCCTCTGTGAAACGTAGCAGTTGTTCTTTCAAACTACATCTGAATTGTCAGACAAGAAATAACTGAACCAAGCATTTTATCTTTCTCTAAAGATATACAGATTCATGATATTTTAAACAATTAAAAACATAGTATTAATGCAAAAAAGCAAGCAATACAGGCAATATATAAAGGACAAGTTCTGCATCTATTCAAAGATCAATAACAGAAGATCAATCCCAGAAAAAAATATCAATAGCCCAATAACACCAACCATTCTAGTTTGCTTTTGCTTAACAACTTGCTGACAATGTTGTCATGGAATTAGTAAGAAGAGGGTTAATTCATTCCCTGCAGTCCACAGAAAGACATGCTTGGTAGCTAAAATTGGCTGAATGGGAGGAGGGAAATCATCTCCCAATTGGAGGAATTGGCCATAACTGTGAAAAAAGATGCCTATCTGATTAATTACTGTTAAGTTATTAATTAGAAAGTTCGGGAAAGATGGCAATCTGATTGGTGCAAATGGTTGAAACATACACAGAGGGGATGATGGGATATAAGTGGAAGAACAATGCATCACTCAAACTTCATTTATACTTAGCTAGCTTCTTCAAAGCTGTGCATGCTTATCTCCATCTTTCAGGAAAACGTAACCATTGCCTGTTACTTTGCTGAATGCAGTGTCTGTACTGGAACCATGCTACATCTTTGTTACTTTGTAAGTACAGATCTAGACAGATTTTTTTTATTTTTATTTATTATTTTCTATCGGTCTTACTGTTAACTGTAAAACAATTAAACAATTAAATTCTCTGCATTTTATTTTGCTGTTTACTATGGAACTGCTTCACATCACTATGATTAATTTAGAAACATGAAACATGTACCATATTTGCCGTATTTGTGGGTGGCGGGCGAGCGAGCGCGTGGCTGGCTCAGCGGCGCGGGGCGGCGGGCTCTGACTGCTCAGGCATGGCAGGCTGTGCTTCCCTCCCTCCATCCAGACCAACTGCCTGCCTGCCTGCCCGCCTGCCTGCCTGCCCGCCCGCCTTCCTCCCCGGCCAGCACGGCCCCGCGTCATTCAGTGCACCCGGCGTACAAGACGACCCCCTCCCACTTGGAGGGATGTTTTTGGGGCCCAAAAAGTCATTTTGTACGCCGGCAAATACGGTATTTTTTGAAATAAGTTAATAAAAATAACAACATTTTACAGCTATGTAATCACTCTGAAAGATCAAGGGGTTGGCAATACTAAAGATAGTGTCTTGCACTCTGAAGTTTTGAGTACTTTGTACTTTCCTACTCCACAGGATTTGTTCGCAGTTACAAGTAAAAACTTAAAAGCTTTTGTGTCTCTCTGGAGCACCAAAAGAGCAAGTACTCTCAAGGGTGTTGGGAGAGGGGTCTCAAAGGAAGCTTTTCCCAATCACTAGCACACAGGACCCTCCTGGTAATTAATCATGCAAACAAGGGTAGAGTGCTTTAGTGGTCAGTGGATCCTCTCTGTGATGGACAGGTGTCCACACCTAGTTAGGCTAGTTAATTATCTGATGGAAATAAACCAGCTTTGAATCAAAGTTGATGCTGTTACTTTGTTTTGACTAATAACAGGTAAGATGAACCAGTTTAGAGTTTTGTACTGACACAAAAGTTTACATTAAAAGAGAGGAAAAGCAAAGGAAACCTAGCAGCTAGGACAACTGTGCCAGTGTGCTAAAAGCAGAAAAGTGAAAAGAAATATATAAAGGAGTCAGACAATTTTAGGAAGAAAGAAGTAAAGAGAAAACCAGATCTATGAACTAATGATGTGGGGGGGGGAGAGGGCAAAACAGCTTTTGAAGTTGGAGACCATGGGCAATTAAGTCAATAGGACATATAGCTTGCAGAATTTGCTATGCTTAAGTCATGACTCTTAACAGAGCTCTAACTACCAGTTTCGGTAGGCATTATGATTTTGCTCACTTTTAGATAATGTTTGTCAGTGCACATTTTATTCCAACATCTGCCTGAATGCTCCAAATAACAGCATCAAAGAACTAATATTTATTGTCTAAGTCAGTAGTTCTCTACCTTGGGTCCCCAGATGTTCTTTGACTAAACCAGAAGCCTTCAACACTAGCTGTGCTGGCTAGGATTTCTGGGAATTATAGTCCAAGAACATCTAAATAGTTTCATCTTTGAAAAGGATATTCCATTTCCACTTTGATGTCGCCAAGCCGGTGGGCCAATTCAATTAAGTCTTCTTCTTTGTTTTCATCAAACACTTTCAGCTGGATATCAAGCTCTTCATTTTCCTTCTCTTTCAGATGCTAATATTCAGTGAAATAAATTGAATAGTTTATCTAAATATGTCACTTAATAGTATTAATAGTTAATAGCTAACTATTAATAGTTATTAGTTTCATATAACCAAGCAACTGAACATATGTTGAGATTATACATTGAGATTACAGCAAAGCACACACAACACATTCTTCCTATTCTGTTTGCAGCATAGAGATATAACACTGTATGATACACACAAACTATAGATGTAGAATAGACAAATTAACAGTGCGAAAAAGATCAGATGATTTTACTCTTATTAAATGGCAAATGAAAGCCTCCTAGACCAAATGAATCTTGATTTTAGACTATAATCAAAATACATCTGTAAGGATTTATGCAGTTGTGATACAAGTTCTTCATAAGTGACTTCATTTAAATAAAATAAATTGATATATTCAAGCATAACAATCTCAAGTATTGTGTGTTCTGTTTAAATTGTGGTTGTTATTTTATTATTTTATTGCAGTTCTAAGACTGTATGACAAAACTATGCTCAATTAAGAGTCTGTTTCACCTATGCATCTTCCATGGAAAATCAAACAAAAACATCAAGTATTGCCTCTGTTGCACCACCTTTTTATAAAAGAGCAAATTAACCTCAAGCTAATGCTAGTTATTCTGTCCAGAATACACAGTTATTTATACAGTGTGTTTATAAATCAGCAGAAAATATTCAGAATAATGTGTTAATTGTGACGTTCCCTCCAGTTTTCAGCCCCGCTGGGGTGGGTTCTGTCACAACCAGAACCAAAGTGGCTGGAAGTCCCTGCTTAGAGGGCAGCGGTGTCGCACTCACTCGCACAGCCGCACACCTTAGAGGGAACCTTGTGGTATTTAAAGTTTTAAACATTCAAAGAGAATGGCTATATCACATTCATTTCAAACCTTCTTCTGATAAATATCTGTAATGGGCCTTATAACCTATTGGGAAAGCGCTGAGCCCAGAAAGACCCAACTCTTCTATTTAGGGATGCTTGGTGACAATGTAATCATGTGACAAATTTCAAGTCTAAATCTTATTATTTCTATATTCTGATTAAATACTAGAGTAATAATTTATTTGTAACAAACTAAAAACACAAACTTTCTTTTATTTTTAAGAAAAAAAATTCAGACTTTATGGCATGCCACATTAGAGACTGTTAGAGTTTCTTTACTATGATCTTCATAGCTTCCAAAAGCCATTTGATAATCACAAGTGACAGCGTTCAAAGATGATAAAAGGAGTATGTTTTGTTGTGCCTACAACAAAAATAGCATCAGCACAGAGGTCACAGTTAGCCACATAGAATAGAACCCACTGCATTAACTAATGACTAATTTAACATGTCAAAAATGAATTAAAGAAAGCCCCTAAGTCAATTAACCATGTAACAATAAGAAAATATTGTCTATTTTGAATGTAATAATGGAAAGATAAAAAATGATACCTAGAAGTAAGGAAAGCATTTTACATGTGTTATGCCAAAGTAATGTAACCTATTGCAAGCAAACTGAAAATGTTTAATTTTATGTAAATAATAACATAAACCCAACAAAAAGAATAAAATTAACATGCTGTTAGAACACGCTGATTCTATTACGAAAGACTGCTGGGCCTCAGTCTACAAGATGCTTGTAAGACAGTGAGAATCAATTTAAGAAACCTCAGCTTCTAGATAGACTCCTACCTACGGTCTACTTAACTGTAAAACTATCCTACTGATAATCAAAGCTTACTCAGGCATATACTGAACATACATGCAAATTTTTATTACAGTCCTTAGATCAATTAAACAAAAACAATGACAATTTCATAAAGCATAGCAAAATTACCACTTACACTAGTTTAAAATGTATTTAAAAACTTACAGTTTAAATCCATTTAAAATCCACAATTTAAGACCATTTAAAATCTACACATCTAAAATTTATCTGCCCTTTGGTTTCTGGAATCTATCACCATGCAGAAACTTGCAACGTGAGAGGTGATCTTAGGGTCTTTATCTGAGAGAAGAAACTGGAGTCTACTTTCTTCTGTACAACCTGGAATTTTTTTAATCAGTGGAAAAATAATCTGATTATGTGCAATTTCATATAATCACATATGAAATGGTAAAAGGTAAAAGGTAAAAAAAATGTGTTGCATAGTTTCTATGACCCCTAGCAAACAGGAGCAAAGCCTTTCTGCAAAAGGCACATTCTTATATTTCCCTTCAAGGATGGCAGACAGAAGGGCAGAGCATCTCGATAGCATGAAAGCTCTTCTAAATCCTTTCACTTCTAAGAGTGATAGATAGTCTGCCGGTTCCATGAGGTTCTTAATGTAGGCCGGCCCTTAACAGCAGATTCTGTACACTACCAAAGTCAGCTTGGTGTTCTATATCCTCAATTCTTTGTTTGACTAATTTCCTTGCCACATTTATTTGATATGACAGCACCACTTCTGGAGATAGACTGATTTTCATCAAGTGGCTCTGGACAGCCTTTACCCAATTGGGTTGGGAATTACCATAGAAAATCAAGGGCAGAAGGCCTTGGGGGTTGTTATGTCCCTTTAGCCATGTATATATAGACAAGATACAAACCCAGGCCTCGAGTCTTAGGAGACCTGTCTCCAATCATATCCTTGCATTTGAGACATATCTGGGGACCTGAAAGATGGTTCTTAATAATTTAGAGAGTTTCTGCAAAGTCCTCCTTAGGCCGACAGGCATTCTAGAGAGGAATACCGTGTCATCAGCGTACAGACGTGTTGCTATAGGTCTATTAGCAAGTCTGGGAGGGTGCAGTTTGGGGTTATTGAGCCACCTAGTTAAGTTGTTTATATAAAAAATACATAAAGCTGGGGACTGAAATGAAGACTGGTCCATTAAAAAGGACAAAAGGCTATCTGTCAATTAGCTCTTAGGTTTATCCCTTCATTTCAATGTTTATGCTTAAGTAGGTAGGAAATGACAGAGAAGCCAGACCACTTTATTTGGTGAAGCAGAACATTAATGTGCCTTGATTTCAAAAATCAATTTTAAAACGTTCATAGTTGGTGTAATTTATCCTATTTACACTAAAGGTTGCCCTTAACATTTAGTCCAGTCGTGTCCAACTCTAGGGCGCGGTGCTCATCTCCGTTTCCAAGCCATAGAGCGAGCGTTTTTGTCCGAAGACAATCTTCCGTGGTCACATGTCCAGTGCGACTTAGACACGGAACGCTGTTACCTTCCCACTGAAGTGGTCCCTATTTATCTACTTGCATTTACATGCTTTCGAACTGCTAGGTTGGCAGGAGCTGGGACAAGCGATGGGAGCTCACTCAGATGCATGGATTCAATCTTACGACTGCTTGGTCTTCTGACCTTGCAGCACAGAGGCTTCTGTGGTTTAACCCACAGCGCCACCACGTCCCTATTTACACTAAAAAGCCACCACAAATTCATTTGAACACCACAAAACAAGGAAACCTAAAGGTATAGAATGGAAATTTTAATTTAATTTTGCTGCTGTGACTTAGTTGCTCCCAACAAGCAATTTGTAATTGATCAGACCTATTCATATTCTGCTTTATTAAATGAAAAGGCAAGTGATTACCTGCACTACTATATCAACTTCCTTTTACTCTTCTGTATCCATTTATTAAAATGTGAATGCACTGAGCATTCAAATGAAAATCTGAACTGTGTCAAAGTTTAGAAAATAATATTTATTTCTCATTTTCAATCTTGCTTCAGACTGGGAGAGGTTGTCCAGAGTTTGGGGGTTCAATATCACCAGCATGCAAATGACAACCAACTCTATCTGTCCTTGCCATCAAAATCTGAGGGAGCTGTTCTGGCTTTAGATCAGTGCCTAGTGTCAGTAATGGACTGGATGAGTGTGAATAAATTTAAACTTAATCCAGAGAAGACAAAGGTGATCCTGGTCACTTGAAAGCCACATCAAGAAATAAGGATGCAGCCTATGCTGGATGGGTTACACTCCCTCTGAAAAGACAAGTGTGCAGTTTGGTGGTGCTCCTGACTTCGTCTTTCAGCCTACATGCCAAGAGTGCATTTGTACAACTGAAACTAGGATACTATATGAATCTGTTTACCTTTTTTTAGTGTGGTATTTGTTTCATCCTTTTTAGTATTTGTGTCCCTACTGTGTTAGCTTTAAATATTTCATTTTATGATGTAAGCCACCTTGAGCGCTTTTTGAGAAAGGTGGGGCAAAATATTTTAAATAAACAAATAAATAAAAATAAGAAACTATGGTACTATATTACAACTGTCATTATCTTTGTCATACACATTATACAATTATTCAACCTTGCTACATTTCTGCTGAACTGTTTTTAGGCATAAAATGTATTTTTCTATACCATCTTTTTCATACAAATGTGCCAGAAAGCTGTCTCTTTTACACAACTATAATTGGCATAAAAAAATTGTACATACAGTGGGGTCTTGACTTGAGAACTTAATTCGTATTGGAAGGCGGTTCTCAAGTCAAAAAGTTCTCAAGTCAAATCTGCATTTCCCATAGGAATGCACTGAAAACCATTTGATCCGTATCTGCTCTTTTCCGTCCATAGAAACTAATGGGAAGCTGCTATTCTGCCTTCGACCACTAGAGAGGGGATATTTTGTTTCTTTTTTTTTTCTTAGGTCAAGAAAGGTTCAGGGAAGGCAGGAAAAATACAGTCCAGGCAGTACAATACCAGGCAGTCTGAAGACTGTCTCCCAATCCATTCTCTAAATGCTGGGAGGAGTGAGGAAGCAGACAGGCACCCTTTTCACTGGCCAACAGTTAACTGAAAGTTCAAATTTTGCACTTTCCCTGCCTCCCACGTGGTTTTTTTTCAGTTCTTAACTCAAATCTAAGTACTTAAGTCAAGTCAATATTTTCCTGAGAGCGGTTCTTAAGTCAAAATGTTCTTAACTCAAGACCCCACTGTAGTGCCAATTCATTGCTAACCTAAGAGTCAAATTCCTTTTGCATAGTTATGATGGTAAAAAGGAAACAG